CAGGATTGTGTTTGTTTCTTAAAATGACACACAACAACTGTGGATACTGATGTTGCATGTTGTGCAGAACTGCTGCTGCAAAGAATCAGTTGTTTTCCACAAAAAGGTTTAACTGGAATACCAGTCCTCACCTGCAGCATGAGCTCATTTAAATATCTGCTACAACTTAAAATGTGTTAATTAAATTCTAAAATGTGTGAATTATCCCTAGGTTAATGTTGTTAAAATGTTTTATTTCATCTCAAATCCCAAATTATCCTGCTTTGTATAACCTGGTACCACCACGGCTCAAGTTATTTCCTTTTTCATGATATCTTCTGCATAGCATGTGCTGAAGCTCCAGTAAACACATAGCCCACGTCACCTAACTCGTCCCTTCTGCTAGTCACAGCAGCCATCTTGTTGCAAGACCAAACTGACCTGGCATGGTAAAACACACCAAAAACAAGCTCAGACATTCTCAGCTACGTTAAGACATTCATGGCAACCTGGCATATTATAAGTCAACAAGTAAAATGTATAGATTTCCATAAATGCTGGTTTTGTAGTTTTAAAGAAGTGGAATATCATAATCTCCTCATTAGGTGGCATGTGGAACAAATTCAAAATTCAAAAAATACTTTATTGATCCCAAAGGGAAATTGAATCAAACTAAACTAAACATGATCCATTCAGGCCTTGATGGAGACTATTTGAGTTATTAATTCCTGATTTCTAGATGGTATAAATCATTTCAACATCCAGAGATTTAACAGTCTTTAAATTTGAGATGACGATACGTAAAAAAGTTGACCTTCACTTCTTTGCAATTCTCTCTTTTTCAGAATTTTAGCTCAGAAAACTGAAGTGTAAATGTAGTTTGAGGGAATAAAAGTTTACAGTCATCTGCTGCAATGACCCTTCGAAACCTTCAGGTATAAAACATTCAATCTTCAAAAGAACAGAAACTCTAGGTGCACGTCCCCCCATGATCCCTGGATGTAATGCATCACTACATTACATCTCAACAGGCGTAATGACGTTCAACTGTAATGACAACAGCCAGCAGCGCTCCTTTGCCCAGAATAAGGCAGCGCTGTCAAGCTCTGTGCCAATGCAACCTGCAGGGATTTGGAGAACCGTGACGTTTGTGAAAAGGTTTCCTAAAACAGGCCGACAGTGTCACACGGCGAGGCAACTAAAGGCGACGGCTGTGCAGTGGGAAATGTTCAGGTTCAATTCCAACTTTACGCAAACTTACCCTTTTGATGTCTTTGCCGAAGGTCTCACTGAAACTGGAGCCGAGGATCTCAAACTGGACGTGGGAGTTTGAGCCGCTCTCCTTGAAGTCCATGATTCCTGTCAGACCTGTGATGTTCCCCTGAAACGACGGAGGAGAGAGGGAGAGGGCGAGAGAGGAGACCGTATCACTTTATCAATCATGGCCGCCTCGCTTGTTTACTGAACTTTTCAAAAGAAATGATGATTAATCTGGGATAAAAAAACTTAAAAAAAAAGTTAATTAAATGAAAATATAATTAGCAAGTTGATTGTTAGAAATTTTAAATACATTTAATTTAGCAAACCTTATTGCAATAAGATTTGCTAAATTAATAATAACTCCTCCGTCACAGTTTATCTGTGTAGCTAAACGCCTCGTTTTAAATAGTTTTGGTCTAAAGTTAGTCACAGGCTCTTTTTCATGAGATTGTTGGACTCTGTCAGAAGTCACGGAAATGGCAGTAACTCAATCATCCTCGCAGGAAACATGTTGATCCTGCTGGTCAACTGAAAGACGCTGAATCTGTATATTAGTGTATTCAGTGACTCACTGCGTACGGTCCACGGTCTTAGCCAAATCTAAGCATAAATTCTCAGAGAAGGTTGTCTTGCATCCACAAAAGCGGTTTTTGCACCGTCGACATTTAAAATCCAGCTCTGTCCAAAACCAGGACAATTGACCATTTATTTATTTGATTGGGGGTCCGTATCTATTTGGAAGACCCATCTGTGTGAAACTTTAACTTCTTGGCACATGTTACTTTACTAGCATTTTCACAAAGCCTGCTTCTCGTCTGGGGTTGACATAAACACATCGTAAGACTTTTCTTCTGGGCATAGAACAAGTTTCCTTCTTTAGAGCCATGGTGGCTTAATATTCTCAGGCTGCTTCTACCTGTGTATAATTATCTGAATCCGAAGAAGATGGCACCATCAGGCATCTGAAAATGCCACCTAAGGATAAATTGCACTTCTTGGGATCCACAATTTTCTTCCTTGTTGCCTTGAAATACACCAGCAGCTCAAGTCATGATGTCAATCAAGCTGTAGTTAAGGTAATATGTTTTTTATGGTGCATGCAAGCAGTTGGTCCAAAACATAAACATCAGAATACCGGTAGGTTTGCTTCATAAGCTAAAGATGAGCCGTTTTCTGTACTCCTCTCGGTGTTTCTGAAGAGTTTTTGCGGTGACAGAAGACGCCATGAAAACTACCGCAAGAAGTTGATAAACTTGTTCAGTTCATGTTGTCTGTTCCATGGAAAGGCTGTGGGTAAAATGTCAATCCTATGACCTACGGTAGCTCCTGTTGCATGTGAAGTAAGACTGAAGACAGTCATCACAACAGGCAGGAGACTAAATGACCCAATGTTAGGCGTAAAGGTCAATTGGGGTGTTGCCAGGAGAGACTGTATGGTTGAGACGTCTGGGGTTCAGAAGGGCTTTCTGTAAAAGCCTTGACTCCAACGCCCGCCATCCGTCCGTCTGTTCCTCCATCACTTCCACAAACATTTCCTCAGCTAAATGTAACATTATGTGACACAACTCATCTTGTCCTCTGTCACAGTCCCTCGTCAGCAAAGTACTGAGACGGAAAGTCTGAGCAAAATTTGAGTCGGACACAAGAGTAAAACCTCTTGAATTTGAATGTAGAAACAAAAAATTCGTATAATACACCAGGAGCACAGAAATTTAGGAAAGAATATCCTTATCAAAAATCTGAATAAAATGCCCCCAATCAAAATTTGAAGCTCAAAAGATTTTCTTCAGAATAATAAATATGTAGAGCTGCACCAGCAGCAAAATTTGGACTGACTGAAATTCATCTCTTAGATTTATAAATAAAATGGTTTGCTTCTTGTAATTTCTAGTTAAGTTGTAAAATTTCAGCTACATAGGGTGTAAGAGGCACGCCCCTTTTTCAAGACTCTGCTCTGAACAGGCTGAGATGTAATCAGGATCAAGTTCCACTGAAAACAAGCAATTTGGTTTCAGTCTTTGCTTCTTTAACAGTTAAACCTCTCCACCTTCAATCATTGTTTTATTTGTTTTTGTTTTGTTTTTTTGCAGGTTGAACTGCCACGAATTGAAGGTTTTTCTTAGAAGCTTAAAAAAAAAAAAGGACCAGACTGGGAGTGCGTACCTGGAGTTGCGGTTCTTCGTTATTTAGTAAGAAATCAAGCCAAACATTGAACATTTGAGGTCAATTGAACGCACCAATAATTCAGCGATGCTATCAGTATTCACAATGAGCAGCTGCATCAACAGTAACACGCAACAACAACAACAAACGCGATGTCTGCATAAAATCAGGCTCAGCGTAGAACTTCATTACCTGGAATTTTGCATCTTTCATCGATATCGAATTATATTTTATGTTTAACTGCATTGTGAAATCGTCTCCTCTGTGTTACCTTTATGAGTGTTTTAGAAAAACAGGAATGACCCTAATGAGCTCTGCGGTTGTTACTTTGATACATGTCAAAGACCCAAATTGCTGGGGTTTTTTTTTTTTTTTTTCAATAACAAGCAGCACATTTTGCTCTCAGGGACTAATCAGCACAGCTGAAAAGCTTCTTTTACCAATTAGAGCATCAGAACGAAAGTCCGGCTGGAATTATGAGACGCATCAGAATCAGGTTTCACGTCAGTGTCATGTTTACACTTCAGGTTCGATTCAGCTTCTGTTAACTGGAGGTGATTTATTCTGTGTCTTGTTACCATCCACATGTGACGGACAAATCTTGACGGTTATTTTAAATGAAATTAGACAAAACGAAGCAGAACAAAACAAAAACTCTCCTATTTTAAATTAGGCTCAATCACATCTGTGAAATTTCTTGTGAAATCACATATTTCTGTACAAATTAGCAGATGTAATTAAACATTGTAATTAAATTGTCTTATTAAAGCAAAATGCGATTTATAGGTGATAATGGTATTTACTGTCTTGTAGCAATTAGCACAAGGCAGTGCTAATTACCACTGTCTTGTGGTAATTAGTAGTTTTTCTATTCTGCTTTATGTCAGTTGTTCATTTTATTTTTTACAGTCTACCCACAAATTACATTTTAATGTGGCTAAATTTACAAACACGTTTCTGTTTACAGAAAGCAAACAATTCTGACAGATTCAGCTCATCTAAAACTGATGGTCTGACTTACACAATATCCAAGAAAATAAATAAGAAATAAGAAATGCATATATGAGAGTTTTTCTTCCTGACACCTATATACACGTACCCACCCCCACCTAAAAAAAAAGAAGAAAGAAACATAATAAATACATTGAGTGCAACAATGCACAACGCTGATCACACCCTTGAACCATGAAGTAACTGAAGAAAATCAGAGAACTGAATGAAGCTAAATGATGAAGGTCAGGGCGTCGTGCTTTACCTTCTGAATGGTCTCCAGCATTGACCAGCCTCCGTTCCACGGCTTGGTCGACTTCCGGATGCAGTTTAGGCTCGCCATGCTGTGCCACTTCCTGTCCTCCAGCTTCCTGTAGAAAGCGTTGGCCAGCATCAGCACGCTGTCGTACAGGTAGAGGTTGGACACCTGGTTGGAGAGAGTTCAGAGGGAAAAGGTCAAAGGAGGAGGAAACTTATTGTCTCAGGGAGGAGACGATAAGCTGTGACGAAGCTCATCGATGCAAAGGTGGTTTGTGATGTAGGGTATAAAACGGCAACCGTCATCAGTCTGGATAAAGAAGAAGTGATTTCATGATTATATGGTCACTTTAGCTATACTGGAAGAGATTTTTGTGAATTTGTGTAGAGTTGGGTCGGCCAAAAATACCAGTAACGATAAACTACATAAACTACACGGTGAAATGTGGCCCGCTAAAATTGAGAAATGTGATTTTTGGCTCGGCAGTCAGAGATGTTGTGCTGCCAATAAAGCTTATGAAACAATAACACCCGCATTTAAAAGATGGCAGGAACTCCTCAAAAGGCATAAAAGTGTGGGGGGAAAAAATACAATCACAAAAACAGAACTGTATCATTTGCAACTCAGTGACAACAGGGCCAAACTGAGCCATTCACGTGAGAAATCAATAAAAGAATTTGAAAAATGTCGATTTGGGTTGAATGGTCCACATAGGTTGATGATTGACCACCGTTCATCAAAATTAGCATGAATGTAAGGGGAATTGGAAAACCACAAACGGGTCTTAATTTCTCATACAAATCTCACTCTTGTCGCTAGTAAGCTACTGACTGATCATAGTTACTACACAAAGCCTAATGTCAAAAATCAAAACTAACCATCCCCTCAAATGTGGGGAGAAAAAAAAAAAACAAGCTTTCCATGCCAACCCCACACACTGACCACATGTGTGACACATCTGTGGAACTGCATCATCTGCCAGCACAAATCTAACACCACCAAGAGCGCTGCTGGCACCCGAGCACACAGACGAGCTGGATGGTGTTGAGACGACAGTCAGCTAGCAGCCAGCCTGTCCACATGTCACCCTGACCAAGCACCCAGGAAACACACTGTGACACACACACGCACACGCACACACACACACAGGCAGGAAGGAGAGACCAAATGCAGGGTGACAAATGAGCATCACGTTGTCCAGATAAGCAGAGCTGACTGGCATGAAGGCCACGCTGCACGCTTCCACTGGCCCTCACTCACACATAGATACACACACACACACACACACACCCACACACACAGATACACAAGCTTCTCTTTTCTGTGTCCTCTTTGGTCATGGAGAGACTAAAGATGAAATTTTACATGACAAAGGCAATATGAAAGGGAATGATGGAAAGAGAAGGGAGATAGAACATTGCTTTTTAAATATACATATATTTCCACATAAATTCAGCTTTTCTGTTCTTTTTGTTTTTGTCTAAGACTTTCAACTCTTTCACTGTTAATTCTCACAGAGACATTTGACGCTCTTCTGCACAAACGATTGAGACAAATGTCCTCATCTCGCTTCTTGCCGAACGTTCCAGGTGAGGACTGAGAGGGTCGGCTGAGGACGAGGGGAATGATGGGAGGTGAGAAATGGAAGAAGAGGCAAATATTCTCAGGTCATCTTGAATGGCCAGAGGAGACAGTGAAGGATGAAGATGGGAAAAGAGACGAGGCACGGGGGGGGGGGGGATAGCCAAGACAGCTGGGCCGGTTTCTCAGGGAAAAGAAGAGACAAGAGTCTGAATGAAGAACAAAAAAAAAAGAAAAAATGAAAAAGAGAATGACATTGGTGCTCGACGCTCGACGTGGCGAGGAAAAAAAAAAAGAAAAGAGAATAAGAAAAACTGAACTCGTCTCCAGCAAATGTCAAAACATGATGGGGAAAAAGCCAGCATTTGTCAGTGTTCATTACAGTAATTGTTCTGTTTGTTGTCTTTAAATGTCAGCCACACATCACCGCAGAGATTTCACAAGTGGAAATAACACTCAGTGTGAGTGGGAGGAAGATTGTGCCTGAAGATGAGATGCGACCAAATTTTCTGGAATGAGACCAATTTGAATTTGTTTCTGGTAAGGCGTGCTGACAGATTACATCAGAAGCTGACGGCAAACTAAAACCGAGACAGAGAGCGAGCGAGAGGTAGCTCTTTACCACAAAAACCCCCAAAATGAAACCACTCGAGATCTTACTTTCTTACAGCTATTTATTTTTTTTTTTTTACCATTTCATTCATAAATAATACTAAGTACATCTGCACCCAAGAAATATCATTCAAAAGCAGGTTTGTAAATGTTGGTCTTTACTTTCTCTCTCTTGCCTTTATACTAACTACTTTATAATAGTTTTGTTTTTGTGTAAGATCTAAAATCAATATCTGAGAAAAAAAAAAGAAGGAAAATGTATAAATCAGTAAACTGCTGTAGGAGCTTTCTGAAGCTCTTCTCTTCTGCCCAGTTTTACGACAAGATTTTGCTCTGAGGACTGAGGTGGCAATGGGGGGAAAAAAGCCAATTTTGTGTAATGATCAACAGTTTCTGTGTCGATTTGGAAAATATATTTTGAATCCTCCTCATCCTCCTGAGACACACACACTTATGATCCAATTTTAGTGGTAGATGAGGTACTTTCCCATGTATTCCCTGTTCACAGCAAAACTTAACTTAAGACTCATTTGACCAAAGTCATAGTACTTTTCATCACAATCCACACATTTACATTTGTAATGGTAGGACTGAAAATGCTTCTCCCTGGAACCAGTCACAAACAACCAGTTACCATGTGGAAAGTGTCTTACTGTTGCCATGGAGACTATAACTTTTTTATGCCACGGTTACTATCGACATCACTGAACTTTGTGGCAAAATAAAAGGCTAACTTTGTTTGCCACTGTTCCAATAGTTGCACATTTTTTTAAATTATTGCCTTGACTGTGGACATGAGACACTTTATGCTAAGAGCTTTTGTCTTGCTGCCATTTTCAAGAGAGGGAACAAGAAATAGGCCTCTGTGTCAGACCTTTTTCACTGAATGAGAATACAAGGATTACTAACATTTATACATAAGTTATGGGGAGAAATACAAAAATGATCTGAATGTCGTTCGCCCACGGCACCAAACAGGCTAGTACCGCCTCTGTCGCTATTTCTAAATACATAGCTGCCATGTGATTGGCTGATTCACTATTGTTAACAAGCATTTGAACAGGTAAACATTATAAAGTGTCTGGTGGTGAGTCATCGTTCTTGAATCGTTTATGTTCCTTCTGTTCAGGATCCAAGCAGAAATGTGGGAACGCAAAACCCGACTCCCTCTGATTAAAGCAAAATATGTTACGCATCCAACCTGAAAAAAAAAAAAATAAATTACAGATGTAGAGGGAATATTTTTCATATAAATAAAAAGTAAAATGGCATTTTCTGACTCTGCCTTAAGAAGACCACTGCAGACTATGACAGCTTTATTCCTTCAGCTTCTCCTAACCGGAGCTCTTGTTCTAAACTGATTAAATCCCACCATCATTTTATGAATTTGGCTGCTTATTACGTCTTTCTTTGCCCTTCATTAAACAAAGCAAACCCTCTAATTACTCTCCCTGTTCCCGAAAATTGACCTTTTGTGCTTTTGTGGCCGGGAATGACTAAAATTGATTCAGAAGTGATGTACAGAATTTGAATTTTCATGTTTAGCCGTGGAGGTCAGGCCTGTGTTTTCAATCCCTTTTCAAAAGCCTGTCTGTCTGTCTGTCTGTCTGTCTGTCTGTCCTTCTGCCAGGGGAAAGAAGGATGAGGATCCTAATCGGAAAGAATAATTGGTACATACAAGGGCGGCAATTATTCGGAATAAATTAAGCATTGCAAGCACACAAAAAGTTGAATGAGAAGAATGTGAAGGTTTCATTTGATCAAAAACACTGAAATAAAAAAGAAATTATTCAAAACCACGAGAAACCCCTCCTCCCCCCCCACTATTTACTGGTAAAGATTATCCGATTTATCGGCACCTTCTCATGGAACTTTTGAGAAAGTTTGTTTATATCTGAACATTAAACTTCTGGAAGCCAATTTAACCCTTTTATGCATGGTGGTCACTACAGTGGACAGCTTTCTAAAAGCCATGTTCTTGAGCCTCTTGTGGATTTTTATGTTATAAATGCACACAGACCACTGAAGTGAACACTAATGCATCATAAAATACACCACGAACTACTGGCCATCAGCTGCAAATGCAAGAAATTATTTTTGTTAAATCCAATATGGCCGACAGACAATAAAGCATGCCGACCGACCCGGTCCCTCCTACTGCAGACAACTCCTGGAGGTAAAAAAAATATTGTGACATCAGATAACCCCTAAAGAGCAATACTTACTGATGTATTTTCCAAACAACAACTTTGTATTTGGAGAAAATTACAATTGATCACTTAAAAATAATTTCCTACCTTTTATTATGCCTTGAGAAAAATCTAAACCCTGACACAAAGGATCATAATTCATGCATGAAAGGGTTAAATATGGCCCACAAGAGTCATCATACCTAAAAGTTATCAAATCGCAAATGTCTCGGCTGCATAATCAAACTTTAAATGTGAAACCGCAGCAGGCACAGATGGTAAAACATGTGTGTGTGTGGGGGGGGAGGGGGGAATCAAAAGCTGCAGATTGTAAATGACAGTAGAGTGATGTTTCCATTTAATTACTTCTGTCAAAAATGCTAATAAGAAAAAAAAAGAAAAAAGAGTTGAAGTTAAAATTCTATCAGATGGCTTCATGCATTCAACGCACTGATTAGCATATATATCAGGGGAACACACAGTGAAATCTCCAGCTATCAGTGCAGCAAATCCCTTTCAGTCCCGTTTCCTATGCATCGAAACGATCACCTGCTTTCAAAATGAGGTGAATAATTCACAGCGCGAGCCTTTTGAAAGCCCGGTGCTTTTTGGTCAGGCTCTCGCATAAATATACATATGTTTTGGATGGGGTTTTTTTCCTCAAAATATCACGCATGTATATTTAAATGTGTGCAACCTGCGTCATCACAGAGTCGATCTGAGCCAAAAATGTAAGGAGCAAACCTACTGGGAGAGCATTTGGAGGTTTATGTCATCCAATCGATGTCATAAAATGCAGATGTGATGTTAATTCCTGATCATCAAGAGTCAAAACAACAATTCTGTGCCTTCATAGTAATTACTTTAACAAAGATGTTTTTTTGTTTTTTTTTGGTTACGTTGTCTCCACAAACGCACACACACACAAAAAGTTGTTCAGACTGTTTATAAGTCTTTTCAGTAAGCAGAAGCTGACAGATGTTATGTAGAACCAGCCTTTTCCTTCGCTGCATGTTTCCCAACCTGAAGTACAACTCAAACTACGGCAGAGGTGGAGAGTGGGCACATCACCATGCCAACAGGTGTCAGTTGCAAACTAAAACTTACACATCTGCTGCTTGAATATTTCTGACTGACATACTGACAGTGGTTATTTTTTTTATTTTATTTTTCTTTTTACCTCCAGGTTCTGCAGGTATCCTTCCTGCGGGTCGCACAGCAGCGACGAGATCCGGTGGTTCTGCCTCATGCACCGGGTGCTGCTGTCCTTCCACAGGGGGAAAATCTGTCGGATCACAGTCATGCGCCCCAGCGCGCTGTGGGTCAGCTCCAGGATCTCCGTGTCGCTGATTTCCTGTGGTCATGTGAGCAAAGGGGAAGAAACGAAAGGCAGAACAAATGTTTTGCCATAAGTTCGAGGCGTCTCATAAAGCGACGCGCGACTCTTTCCTCTATATGACGATGTCACGTTAATTAATGCGACCAAGCAGCCGGCTGTAAATCATAACAGCGCAGTCACACCGTCTCTTAAAGAGCTTCCTGTACTCGTTCGTATACATGTTTAACTGCTACAACAAGGAGAAAGCCAATTATTTTCTTGAAGGTGTAATTATAGATAGTCCCCATCTGAAGTAAAGTAAACCCACTCCGTTCGGTTTCTCCTTATGTCGTCCTCATCCAATTAAACATGAAGCTGTAAACAGAAGTGACCCAGAATTTTTTTTTTTTTTTTTCATTCACTGGGAAGAAAACAGAAAAAAAAAAAAGGTTTTAAATGTCAAAAATCGGGGGCCGTAAAAGTAACCGAGACACAAGATTCACTGTTATTTCTACTGAAATATAATTTATTCCATCCACATAAAAAGTGGCAGCTGCTTCACATTAAAATCTCGACGTGAACCCTGTATTTTGAACTGATTTTAAAGGCTAGACAATAATTATCTGTGCTGGAAACTATGTTTTTTTTTTTGTTTTTTTTAGAGAGGTTTTGTCTTAAGTACCAAAAACTTTCTGTGACCAGAAGAAGACCCTCTGGTCATCAGCATATTTCTTCACTTTGCTGTTAAAAGTTCTTGACCAATCATGTTTTTTTTTTGTTTTTTTTTTACCGCAGCTCATGCAAAATGAATGCCTGGCAGCGGGTAAAATGGTCACTAGTGTTTTGGCGTTTGTCTTTAGAGCAACTTCTGGATCACGTAAAAAGAAAGCAATAATATTACAGCGGAAAAGTGGGTTGTTTTACATGTAAACCTTAAAATCTGTGGTGGATGAATTTTAAATCTACCACTGTGCTTCAATAACACACGTTGACAAAAACACAGTGAAACGTGTAACAATTGGACTGGTTCTGCTGGCAGATTCTTCCTGGTAAAGGGGGAATTCTGGCTTTCCTTCCCACGGTTGGCAGGGAAAGCCAACCGTTTACTTAATGTAAACGGTTGGCTTTCCTTGTTTTGTTTTATTTTATTTTATTTATTTTTTACTGAATAAAGTTTATTTTCTCCATGAGCCTAACTGACACGTTTTGGTTTTCAGACCACTAGGAATTTTGTTTAATGTACTACACCAAAACAAGCAAACTAAGTTTCTTAAAAAAAAAAAGTCCATATGTCACCCTTAATTCCTGTCTAATTCCAGGTAAACACAAACACATTGCACATTTATTTTTCACACATTAATATTTCACTAACACATCCTTCAAACCTCAGGAAGCCTTCTAAAGCAGAGAGTAACTGGAACAGCTGCAGGTTCAGAAAGACCTTCTGTCTCATGTTTGTTCAAACAGGTGACATTTTTTTTTAGCAGAGGAAATTAGTTCAAAATGCAAATATGTTTTGACATCTTATTAACAAAGTAGTTTTTTTTTTCAATCTAAATCATAGAAAAAAAACAACTAAATTTCATAACGTTAGCTTCTCTAGCCTTCTAGCTAAAGTTATGTCACTCAACATGCAGCTCAGTAGGGAGTTTAGGGTTAGGAGCTTTGGGACATGTTGACATGTGACAGGAGAAGAAAACTGTAGAATAATTTAATAAAAAGTCTGGTATGACCAGATAAATAGCACTCTTAAATATTTTTTTATAATCATCAGCACTAATATAGGTTTTTTTTTTTTTTTTTTTTTTTTTTTAGATTTACTTCATTGTCGATCAAAGGAGCCCTCCAACTCTCACTGCCTACAGACCAACAATTACCCGCTGCTTGTGTTTCAGGCACTTACGGCAGGACAGAGAAGAGAAAAATGAAAAGGGATAAAGGAAAAAATCCCAGACAGAGCAGGGCAGCTCTGATGGATTCAGTTGTCAATACGGGTGACGACTTTAACGGCTGCAACGGGAGCAGCTGTGATGTAACCTGGCGAGGTGCTTTTCGTTCACAAAGAACTGGATTTACATTTCAAAGAGAAGCACCCGGTGTCATTTACAGTTATCGCATTTCGTGTCTCGTTAGCGCCGCCCGTTTCCGATAGGTTCCCCGGGTAATTAGGTTTTGTTCATCAGGAAGGCGGCATTACGTACAGCCATGGGAGAAAAAACACGAGGTGAAAAAAAAGAAAGAAAGCGATAAAAAGGAAAGTTAAAAAGTTACTTTTTGAACTTTTTGAAGGAGATCATGGCTTGGGGTACAGAGTTTTATATATGTATGTGTGTGTGTTTTTTTTATTTTTTCAGTTCTGAAGTCCAGTCTAAAGTCCAATGCAGCCAGTAGATCCTCTGTGAGACACAATCTTAAATATGTGTCTCACAGCAAATTCCGGATCATATTTATCTCAATGTTTTGTTTTGTTTTTGTTTTGTTTTGTTTTTTACATAGAAGTGGGTTTTTAGGATTCGTTTACATTTCATCAGTATTCCCTTCATGGAAGGTCAGCTCCATCATATTCGTATTTATTTCATTTTAATCAGGTTTTAGGGAGTTGGAATGGTATTTTCCTGGTGTTACTCATGGCCAGAAGAGTCTCTGGAATAATAACGCCTGCATTTGTTCTCTGTTTGTGAAAACGTCCGTCTGTGTGACTGACGTTCTGATATTGTGCAACGTTTGCAAACAGGTATTTTTAATCCAGTTGGTTTTCATCGGCAGAGTTGTTGTTCTGAAATGTTCAGCCTCTAGTCACCTTTATTCATCTTTATTCTCTTTCTTTCAGACCATTTTCTTCAGATTAGTTGAGTTGAATGGATGCGTTTTATTCATATTCCTGTGCTAAGTTCTCTCTTTTTCTCTCTTCTTCCTTTGTTACACATTCCAGGACTTGACAGAAACGTTTCTTTTGTTTTCTGAACTCGGCATCTGAGCAGCTTCAGTGTGCTCAAAGTCATTGTGTAGATTTTTTTGACTGTTCAGAGATAAAACGTGACAGCTGCTGCTTCACACACTCAGACCCATACATGTGGTTTCACTGTGGCCCTGCTGAGATCTTCACTCCATCCTCACTGCCAGGCTTTTTGTCTTTCCTACCCCAACCCTGATACTTTCCCTCAGTTTTGGTTCACATGGTTATTTTATTTTATTTTATTTTTTGCCTTCTCTCTATGTATGTCTTTGTGAATTGATTTGTTTATAGTAGAACTGCTGAGACCGGTCACTGTAATCGATCTCAACAACGATGATAATTCTTCACTATCAATCAACGTTCTTGAGTTGACAAAGTTTTCAAAGTTGTTTTGCTCCAAATCGTCTTGACCGTTCAGGAATGTGTTTGCAGTTTAACTGCCTGATTCTAAAACTAAAAATTCACATTTGTTGTAATTTTGTCCTTAATGTACAGTATACTTTTTAAACATATAT